CACCTACCAGCCACCAAGGAGGCATCCAAGTCAGATGCAAACCACCTTAACTGACTCCTTCTGATGTGGAGGAGTAGCGACTTTACGTTTAGCCCTTCCCAAATGAGCTCCACACTGTATAACTAAGGCTGACCCCAGGTACCCCACTGTTAAAAGGGAGTTTTTCCTTCCCACTGTCGCCAAAGTGCTTGCTCATAGGGTGTCATATGATTGTTGGGTTTTTCTCTGCATCTATGAAGCGCCTTGAGGCGACTTTTGTTGTGATTTGGCGCTATATAAATAAAATTGAATTGAATTGAATTGAATAGAGGAAGCTCATTTCCACTCTTCGTATCTGTAGTGTGATTGTTCTGATCATTATGCTCGTGGCCGTGGCTGAGGGTTTGGGCATATATTTACCAGTAAATCTAGAGCCTTGCTTTCAAGCTCATCTATGTTTTCATTAGAATCGAAGATTGCAGCGTTCACTTTATTGCTAGTGCCACGCCACTTCTCCAATAACTGCACAGTAATGAAAATATATGCTCTGACTTCTGATAATATACCCTAATGGAATAACTTTTCTGTGAGCAAAAAACTTTTGTCAGGATTTGTCAGATAACTACAATTTCCAACACATTTCTCTTCATGTCAGTGTTGTATTCTAGAAATGAGAAGTTACTTTTGTAAAATGTTTTGATCAGAGTGATCAATTGCAGTAACGTCCAACAATATACGAGTACAGAGATAAGTCTGCTCCCAGAGACAATAAAGAGATCATTAGTACCCTTTACTAGTCCTGTTTCTATGCTTTTGAATTATGATTCCTATTTTTTCTTTTTAGGCTGGACAAGTAAGCTGGATCAAGTAAAGGCTTCTGAATTAATGACTTCCAACTTAAAAGCCTTTAGCTTCTTAAAAAAAGATAAACTGATCATATTTAAAATCAAAGTATTGATTAATGATGAGAGTTTTTTGTAGGAATGTGGGCTAATAGATGTATTGATAGCGTCACTGAAGGCCTTAATGAAGTTAGTTCATAGAAATCAATAGAAAATAGTGCTGTCAGCGTTAATCTTGTTTATACAATACAATAGTATTTCTTTTTATTTATTTTAATTTAAATAAAAGAAAATTCATGAAGCAAACTCTTTGTCATCATGGTTACAGCGATGAACAGTAATGATAATAAAGATCTATTATTAAATTGCTTTAATATCAGCTTGAAAGTTTGGATAACAGAGTTTGGCAATAGAGCTGCAAACTGTGCAGCTCATGTAGTAGTTCACATTCTCACCAGTTGGAGCGTGATATCCGTAGACTTCCACTTCACAGAGTGCGAGGACCCTTTCTGAACCAGGAAGAGTCAAGGTTACATAACGCCCCTCCACACGACCAGCGAAATTCACAGTGTAGGATTTGCCTGCACCAACTTCAGAAATTTGTCCAACCCTAACAAGAAGTGTGTGAGAAAATACAATTTACCATGGCAGCAAATATCAGAACATATGATAGTCAGCGTGATCATTTTAGTGGAATTTGCTGACAAAATTTACAAAAACTGTAACCTGGTATTCTCTATTTTAATATATAATGGAATGATTTAATATAGGAATCTATCATAGGGAGTGCCAATAAAAAGAATGTGGGCAGCTAACAATGTCAGTCCTACAGCAACCTCTCCTGTTGCCGTTCAGGAAAAACAGAAAGAAACAAACACTGCAAAGGTAAAAATGAGTAAAATGCCAAATCACAACATTGTTGCTAATTACTTATTTCTCTATATTTACTAACTTTGGGTTTATTAAGCCATCGTTATTCAAAGAGTTGCCTATGTAGATCTCCAGCCCGTTGAGCTTTTCATGACAGCAGTCTCCTCTGTTAGTGATGGTGAGGGAAGTGATAATGTAGGACTCGAGCAAGTCCACTCTCCACCAGGGGTCGGTCTGTTGATCGGTGTGTGAGCATGATCCGTGGCGAAGGTCAGAATCACGGTTTCCATCAATTGCAGCGTAGGCAGCCGAAAATACCGCACTCATATAGGTTGACTGGGTTGCTTTGCCACGCAGGGCCACATTTTCTGGCGATAGCATAATGCAAATGAAAGATATCATGAAAGGACATGTATTCAAGCAAGCAGCTGAAAATGAGCACCCATCCAAATGTACCTCATTTAGTTACTTCCTGATGTAGTTAGCTTGATAACTCTGTTTACAGTAATATAGTGACTGTAGTATATGAACATATTTGGATAGGCATATTTGGTAGAGATGCACAACTGCTGGTTAGTTTGCTTAGTCAGCAAAGTCTACCCATATTTCAAAATGATTACATAGGATGCTGAACTTTGTGAGCCAAAAGAATGGTTTGAAAGAAAGTTCTTACTGTAGAAACTGAAAAACTGACTCCTTAATGTGTTTTTTGGAAGGTTTATTGACATCCACATCTCACGTGTCTCATTTAATAATTTGCATATTTGTAGTAAAGCAAAACTATTTTGTGTTACTTACATGAAACATCCAGCTCTAAACTCTAGAAACTGCAGTGACTGCAAATGTTATACACTCTGTTAAGTTTCTGTTATACTACTTCACTCTCTATCTCTACCTGATGATAAACACATTGCCTCTTATTATTATGCTGTCTTTTACATATAACTACTTTTCCTTACAAAAAAAGAGTCCATATACATCCCGATCATACTTACGATAGCTGCGTGCTGAGGACATCCCCAGGAGAAGGAACAAAACCAGTGCTGAAATGTGTTTCATTGTTGCTACTGTTCACACTGAGAAAATAAAATACATTTGGGAAATGTGCTTGAATTCACCCTAACTTACATATTTTTTTAAAGTTTATACTAAACTTAAAGAATGTTTTAAGTCTTTAAATGAAAACTACATACCTTATAATCAGACGCAGATGAGGAGCTGCTGTTAAGGATTGTTACTTATATTCACATCCAACCAGGGCACATGAGCTTTGTTTATCAATAACCCACCGAGGACTTTGTCCTAGAGATAAGGCTCATTTCAGCTAGGATATTGGCAGTTCCTGATGTTTTGGAAAAATGCATTGAATGCATTTAGTACCATGCGTACTAAAACGTAAAAAAAGTGATGTAAAAATAGAAAAAGTGGCAAGATTAATAAAAACAAGAAGAAAACATTTCACAAAGACTTTAAAAAAAAGTAAAATGGGTTTCATATACTCAAATCAATCTCAAGTGGGTTAAATCCTAAAGTAAATCCGACCCCAACCTTAGTAATAAACTGACTCGGTTCTGGTATATTCAGTTTTCAACAAATATAAGCAAAATATGAACATTTATGCTGAATATGCCACACTATTGTAATTTATTCTCATTTATAGGTCTGTGCTAATGTGCTTGGAGCAAAAAAAGAGCTCCTGTTCCACTCCCTGTGCTTCGTGTACAGGTTTTTCTGTTGAATATAAAGAATTTTGCTCACTAATCTACCAGATATTTATCAGCTTGGGTTTGAAATTCCTAGTACTGGTATCACTGGTATCACCTGGCTGTAGCTCAGGTGTCTGAGCAGGTCAGCCACTAATCAGAAGGTCGGTGGTTCGATCCCAGGCTGCCTCCTGGCTGCATGCCAAATATCCTTGGGCAAGATACTAACCCCATGTTTGCCTACTGGTGGTGGTCAGAGGGCCCGGTGGCGCCAGTGTCCAGCAGCCTTGCCTCCCCCAGGGCAGCTGTGGCTACAACGTAGCTTGCCATTGCCAGTGTGTGAATGTGTGTGTGAATGGGTGAATGACTGAATGTAGTGTAAAGCGCTTTGGGGTCCTTAGGGACTGAGTAAAGCGCTATACAAATGCAGGCCATTTACCATTTACCATAAAGTGCTGTTATCAGCTCAGCTGGGATTTAAACAGTACACCCTTTTTACTGGGCACGTGCCACAGTTTTGATCTCTTATGCTCGATTAAACTTGTGAAGGGATTTAAAAAGCTACTTTTTTTTTAATTAGTGGATTTAATTAGATTAATTAGATTTAAAGAGAGAAAGGTAGAATGTAGTGCAATTTTGCTGTTCAACCAAAAACAAATAAAGTCCATAAAAAAATTAAAAATAAAATAACCACTTCACCACTTTTTGGAAACACTTTCTTATCTTTTAGATTATATGTTAATGTACTTTATTTATAAGAAGTAAACCTATGTGAAGGCAGCTTTATTCTCTTATTCTTGAACAGACATAGATAGATACATGTTATTGAGGTTTTATTTACATCACGGTGTGGTCATGTAAACTTGCTCCACCTCCTGGCTCTGTACAGACACAGGCACAAACTAAGCTGAAAAGAGTCTTGTATTACCTGACAAAAAAATAATATCTCTTGTTTGTGCAAGAGCTTAAATCAGGCTGAAGCTGGTAGGCAAAAAAAGTGTCACCACAAGATGGCGCCATCCTGACTGCTGCTCACAAATAGTCAACTTTGTCAAATTACATGACAATAGTTAATTTATATTGCACCAGTATGGACAATAGCTTTGACAAGTAAAAGTGCTAGTGTTACTATAATGTGGCTACTTGGATCTTGTTGGCAAAAACACATTCACTGGATTATAAGAGTTAATACGAAGAACAGCGGACAAGAGTAATATATAATAATGATGATAATCAAATGAATGAATACATTTTAGACTTTAATCTTAGATTTTAAAAAAAAGTTTTTTCCTTTTAGTTATGTGAATTTATTAGAGTGTAAGATTTTTCTTTAAAAATGTACTATTTGAATGTAAGTTTTTTGCAATGTTTGACTTTTGGAAATTGATATTTTTTGTACTCCGCCAAATTATTTATAATGGCTATTATTAAGTTAGTATATCAACCCCCCTTTTTAAATTTTTTTTAATCTTACATACAATGGCCCCAATACGCCGTCTTAGTTTTAACACAAACTAACTAAAAAAAGGAGGAACCTTCTCAGGTGCCTACATTTCCCATGGACCGTCTGATATTCAGGCTCGCGAGACTTCAAATTACTCAACACGTTTGCGGCTGCGCAATGTCATTCGAAAACTTGCACGCTGAGGGACGCCGTGGAGGAGAAAGACAACGCAGCGAACAAAACACACAATGGCGACGGCGGCGACAACGGCAGGCGGAACGGGCTCGGGTGGACCGAACACTGGCCCCGTCGGTGGTTTAACTGCAGTGGGACGAAAGAAAGATGGTGGTCCGTCTGCGAAATTTTGGGAAAGTTCAGACACGATATCCCAGCTGGAGACGGTGCGACTCTGGATCGGAAAGCACTACAAGAAGGTAAGCTAGCTGCCCGCTCCTCTATTGATTTCTATGAAGGCCCGCGTCCCGCTAGCACAAAGGGGCGCTCATGTTTTAGTTAGCTGCAGCCACCCAGAGCTAAGTAGAGTTAAGTTTTAAGAGTGCTTATATATAATTTTGTTTGGGAGTTCACCGTCAGTATACTGCCCATAGTCTTGAACAGTTAGAGTAATCGGTTCTTGTTTATCAAATAGCTATTGTTAGCTCGCTAACTGCCCATTCAATGTTGCTACTAATATGACGCTCAGGGGGGAAATGTTTACAAACGAGCGACACATAGCCGCGTATATTTTTTTTTAACTCGTATGTAATAAGTTTCTCATTAAAAAGGAATAACGATAAACCAAACTTTCTTATTAGTTTTTCAAAAGGCCCGAGATGCTAACCTGTATGTAAGTCACGGGACATACCCTGCAGAAATTATAATATTAGCTTAATAAACCCCAGCTTTCTTTTTATGCCATCTTAAAAGGTACTTTACTTAGAAGGTAATTATCTACTTCACTGCGTGCTGTTTGCAGGCCCAGTCCTGTTCCATGCTGTCGGTGTGTTGAGTTTTGTCAACACAGCAGCACAGCACACCGTGCAGGTTGCACTTGCCTACTGAATTAGCCAAACAAAGAGTGCTCCTCTTGTCACGCCAGACTCTCATTCAAAACCACTGACACGTTGTGCCTGCTCAAGTTATAGCAGAAACATTATTCAAATGAAATGGCATAGATAAGGGCTTGTGAATACAGCGTTTACGCGCAGATTTATATTGCAATATTTCATATATAAACTTGGCCTTTTTAAGCATATCCACTGTTCAATAAAGTTGCCTTTAAGAATAATAAATACATCCGTTTGTTTTTGTTGTTGTTGTTTTTTTTTGCAAAGATATTTATGTGAGTTATTTGAGGCCATATAGCAGTGGAAGGTCTTCCAGCTTTAAATGTACTTTGTTGCTGTTGACTGTGATCTTTCTGGCCAGTGTTTAGTTGTTGTGTTGCATGAACTTAGCATAGACTAAATCTAAAATAAGCAACTAAAACCTTATGTCATTATTTGGTGATGCAACAGTATATAAATGGGATTCACTAACATTGTCTCTTGGATTACATTGATTTTGCACTGGCTAAACCTTAAAGGATAAAGTCATGACTTGATTTTTAAATTTTTTTGGTCAAGATTGATTCTCTGGAGCAAAAAGATCAGGAAATAAATAGCATCCAACTATTCCTCTTGTCCTGCTGGTAACAGGACCTGGATTTCAGGGACGGCAGTCTAAGCAGAAACCTGTCGCCATGCAAGGCAAAAGATATAACAAGTTTAAACAAAAATCATTAGTCTGTTGACTCTCTAGAGCTGCAACTAACAATTATTTTGATATTCGACTAATCTGCCTAATTATTTCAGTAACTCTTATCTCTGCTTCCTGTAGCCAAACCTTCTGTTCTACCCTGTAGTACCTCATCTGCTGAAGTCTGCCCACCTGTGAATATCACCCTGTTGTTTTGTCCCCCACCAACTTAACATAATGATCCGAGAAACATTTGAATTTCAAAATAATCAAATGTATTTTTAACATTACTCAATAGTTTGTATATTCTTTGGTTCATGAATTCACGATTGGATGTTCTGGAGCGAGGCTTGCTCTTATCGTTGTGATGATGTTCCCAGCTGCTGATAACCATGCTAATGATGCTCTCCGTCATGACTTAAGCCATCTGAGAGGTGCATGAGCCTCTTTACAGGACTAACTTATCTATACCCCACTGCTTAATAGTAGTATAGCAAAACAAAACAGAAATAGAGCTCTAGTAAACGACTCTTGTTGGCTGCTCATATCATGGTAACAGACTTCTTTTTATTATTTCCTTTTATTACTTAAGTTGTGATACTGTGATGTGTTGTGTCGTGTTGTGTTGTATGCAATGTCGTTGTGGGACAGTTTTCCAATTTCATTGTACTATTGTACTATGGATGACTGTGCAATGACAATAAACAGTTATCTTATTATCAAATGAAGAAGCCCATTCTCAGACTTTTGAGCATTTCTTTGGAATTAATTCATGTACAAAAAAAAAATCTAAACTCTTGTAGGTTGTATTTTTCTGTCTTTTGGCCACCTTGATTTGCTAACAAAAAAAAAGACTGCTAGATAAGATGGGAATCTGTGCCATTGCTATCATGTTACTGATAACTTTTTTCTGTGCCTACTTCCAGCACGTCCAGAATGACTCCCCCTCCAGTAAATCCCTGGCAGGTCTCGTGGTCCAGCTGCTGCATTTCCAGGAAGATGCATTTGGGCGAAGAGTCAACAATCCTGCTCTTACAAAGCTACCTGTAAGCATACAAACATTGCATTCTCCAAAAATTGCCATCACAGTTGAATCCAAAATGGTAAAGTGTTCTGTTCTTATGGTTCCTCTCATATCTTCAGGCCAAGTGTTTCCTGGATTTCAAGGCAGGAGGTGCTCTCTGTCACATTTTGGGATCTGTCTACAAGTTTAAGAGCGAGCAAGGCTGGTAAGTTAACTTGTGTAACTTAGTATGAGCAGATGGGTCTGACATTGATCACCAACTTAAACCCTCCTTTTGAAGTCATTGGTCTTAGAAATATAATTTAAACTATCTCAGTTGTGCATTTTGAAGATAAGCAAAAATCTTAATGGTCTGGTATTTTAGGATGTTGGTTTATGGAGTTAAAAAAAAAAAACAAAACATTTGTGTCAGTTCCCAGTGATTGTACTACCTTGAATGACTTTATTTGTCCCCCAAGTTGAATATCTCAGCAGTCCATGGATGGCGTAGGTCATAGAAGTCACAGCACATAAAGTCATAATAAATGCAGAGTTATTATTTGAATATTCATGTGGCTTTGTGTCATTCTCAGGCGAAGATTTGACCTACAGAATCCCTCCCGGATGGACAGGAACGTGGAAATGTTCTTAAATGTTGAAAAGAACCTGGTCCAGGTACAAGACAAAGTCCTTATGCTCGAGCTACTCCTTATGTTTATTCTAAGTACATTTGTTAATCAAAGTGCAGTCTTTAATAAAATTCAATTAGGCTTCGTGTATTCTAGTTATGAAGTTCAGATATTGCAGTTGTGTTTAACTTTCAAAATGCATACAGGGTTTTTATTGTTAAAACTATTGTAAGTTTCAGTAACTCCAAGTCTTTTAACATTTTAAATGAATAAGCTCAGATTCCATTTAGCCAGTGTGCAGGTATCAGATTTGTGACTGTATGCAGTTGTATGGAAATGAGGTAAGGGTGTGTTTTTATGCTGTCAAGTGTCCCTTAAAACTTCAACTGTAATCACCGCATTGAGAGAGTGAGTGTACTTTTGTTTTTGTACTTTTGCTTTGTTATAAAGCAACTTTTTGCATGACTCTAACTTAAACCTTCTTCATGTGTAGAATAACTGCTTGACTCGACCCACTGTTTACCTGTCGCCAGACATCGAGCAGAAACAGGCTAGTAAGCTCAAAGACATCATCAAAAGACACCAGGTGAGCACAGGAATGAAATGATTTCCAGAGTAGTAAAATATTCTCGTGGGAAGCTCAGCCTTTTAAGTTGTTCATTTTGTTTTTCTCTGTTCTCTTCAGGGCTCCATTACGGATGACAAGTCGAAGGCCACCCATATCATTTACCCGTCACTATCCCAGCAAGAAGAAGGTTTGTTAGTTATCTCTGTGATTTAAGGACTCTTAGTCAAGTAATGTGAACCACATATCTACTTTCTTTAATTCTCACTTCATTATCCTTCTGACCTAAAACCAACTTATTACTACAGTTAAATAATGAAAGATTTTAAAAGTGACTTAAAATATAGTAAAGTGATCAAATACTGCTTGGTAATCTTACCACTTTTTTTTTAGTTTTGTTTTTGCTTATAAAAGTGTAAATAATTGTGAATAATAATTGTGAAAACTCCTGAATATTGGTATTTATGTTTTGCAGAGGAGTGGCTGCGTCCTGTCATGAGAAAAGACAAGCAGGTGCTTGTCCATTGGGGTCTCTACCCAGACAGGTGAGCAGAGTGAGGCATTAAGCAGCTCACAAAAAGATCTGTGCTTCAGCTGGTGGATGTAAATTATTTCCTTCTAATATTTGGGCATTTTAGGAAAATGTTGGCATTTTATTAAAGAAAAGAAAAATAAATAATCACTCAAATCATCCTGAGAGAGATGTTTCTGTTCATGACTTCATGAAGTTACTGATAACTGTTTTTATTTTGTTAGCTACGACACCTGGGTGTCAGCCAGTGAGTTAGACGGTGACCCAGAGGACCCACCCAGCACTGACAGACCTTGGAAGGTGAGATGTCTGTAACCAATAGGTTTTCTTTTGATACTGGAAGACTTTTTTGTGTCCCTTAGAGTTTCCAGTTTTGGTTTTTGTTACCTATGTGGTTATAAATTGTCCTGAGAATATAAATGGTCACTATTGTATGCATCTGACATGTGTTTGTACCTGCATACCAAGCAAAGTTTTATTGTATTTATTTATTTTAAAATGTAAAGTGAAGCGGCTTTACCACATCAGCTAACCAATTTTCTTGTTTTTGCATTTATGTATTTCTGTCTTTTCTACTTGTTCTTTAGTGTCTTCCACTTAGAAATTATGGGAAATTAGGCCAGCAGAGTAAATTGATGAGTTGATTCTACTCTGTTATCTCCTTCCTTACTCTGATAAGGTCCATGCCAAGTGGGTTTTAGACACAGATGCCTTCAATGAGTGGATGAATGAGGAAGACTACGAAGTGGATGAGAACAAGAAGCCAGTCAGCTTCCGCCAGAGGATTTTCCCCAAAGAGGAAGAGGTATGTGTTTTTGCTGTGTGGGTGTGTGTCAGTGATCCAAACTTCAAATCCAAGAGAATCGTGTGTGAAAGCAGGTTTTCCAGCCACGTTTCATCAGTACAGTGTGACAGCACAGCTCCTACCATTGTTGTTAAAGGGCAGCAACCTGATCGTTGTTACAAGTGACTTGTGTTGAAATTGGCTCTTTTGTAGAGGTATTAATCTAAAATTGGTCTTCAAATCTGTACTGTATGTAAGCCTGGAAATGGAAATTATTTGACTGAGACTAGGTGTGAATGCTGGTGTGAATTTGGATGTTTTTACTGTTAGTCTGTCCCATTGCATGTTGCTTTGCTGTATGGATTGTGCTCCTCACTCTTCTTCGTTCACAACTGGCTTCAGTCTGCATGCTGCCCATCCTTTCTAAGCCTTTCCTCACACTTTGTCTATTTCTAATGAGTTTCAGGGTTCCTGTTCGTGTTGGGTAAATGAACTCTGAAAGTTATGATGCCAGAGACATTAAGTTTTCTTTTACACTGTTTTGGCCTTTTCACTGATCACTCATGATCACTCATGCGAGCGTTAAGCAAACTGGCCACACAGATGTTTAAGTGCTCCAGTTTCCCATTAATTGTAGCTCTTTGGGTTACCCTTAAGTTGTACTCTTGACCTCTGTCATACACGCACTCACACAAAACATTGAGTGAACTGCATCTAAGGTTAGTCAGCACATGCTTCCCTAAGCTTTTCAAAAAAATAGTTTTTATATGAATTAGCTTTTTAGTTATCCTCAGCCCCAGAGTATGCCTGGAAGTAAACAGAAAAAAGACTGCCAGGAATGGCCATTGTAGTAAGTGCAGTCAGGACAGCCTGCCAGCTGACCTAATCATCAGGAACTGCTATGCTGGCTGGCATATTCATCCTTGTTTACATGTGTGAAGCTGTAGATGAAGCTGAATAGGCGGGCACTCACATCACATTCATATATGAAAAGCTGACTGGTCAGGCCTAGGCTTTTCTACTAGTTGTTATAATTTGGTGGATGAAGCACCATCTGCAGGATAGAAATATTTATGAAAGCTCCAAATTTATTATTGGATGAATTGTTTTGTAGGGCTTGGATAAATCTCCAGAATGCAGTCATAGAGTGCGAAGTTAACATCATCTAAAGAGCCACAGCAAACACATTAAAAGCTTTTTATTTGATCTAATCTGGAGCCTTTTTTTGTTACTTTTTATTAAATTTGAAAAGGGGAAAAAAAAGAATCAAATAGTGACAACTGGACAAAAAGAAGTTTGTCTGCTGCTGAAGAGAAATTCCTCAGATCCTGAAATGAGGGTCAGTATGAAAGAGTGTCTGTTTGAAGAGGACAGTATACAGGAACCCTGATTGTCTCCTCCACCTCCACGGCATCCCCACCCCACCCCACCCCTCCTACGGTCGTTCTCCCACTGCTTCCCCTCCTTGTGTGTGCAACCGTTCCATCCTCTCATTCTGCCGCTCTTTCTCTCATCCTCCATCCCTCGCTCCCTGCGCTGCTCGGGGTTTGTCTGATCAGTCTTCCCGTACACCCGATCGCAAGGAGCGCAAGGCCAACTCTGCGGGAAAGAAGAGGAGGCGCTCACCCTCTCCACCCAGCACTCCAGCCGAGTCCCGTAAGAAGGGAGGCAAGAAGGGGTAAGGATCCTTCTCTTTGTTTTTGTTTTTAATGGTAGTGTAAAATGGAGTGAGTACTGAGTAAACGCAGATTTGTGCAAGTGGTCTCCTAAAACTTCAGATTTGTCTCTAAAGGATAAAACTTGGTGATCCAATACATTTTTTTCAAAAGACAACAGGCCTAAATGTGACTCAGGAACAGGAGATGTATCATTCATTTTGTTTAAGCAGATCTTAATAAAATATGCTGTAGAAATTAATTTTCCAAGGCTTGGGGACTAATTGTATTTGGATATTAATTCACAGTGATTGTGCTAGGGAGCATTTATGGTAGCAGGACTGTGTATGTGTGATTGAGTCAATGTAGACTATATTTAATGAATGAACATGTCACTTTGTACAGCAGTGAGACTGATGTGAGTAGAATTAGGACGACAATGAAGCCCTGTGGTGCAGTATAATAAGATATCAGATATAAAATAAGATATTTTATTGTCACGTTTTAACAGTTAGAGAAAAGCAAATAAATCATTTCTCTCTCTCAGGAACCCGGGACCTCACTGGAAACGACGGGGCCACAGAGGAGAAGAGGAGGACACTGAAGAGGACATGACAAAAGACATGGACGATTCCTCAGCTGGTGCTAGCATGGAGGAGGGCAGCATCTCCAAGAATGGTATGTGCTATATAGGGGCTAAGCTTGGCTCCATTTGTGTTTGTGTTGCAAACTACCATCTGTACATGAGATACTTTTCCTGTGTATTAAAGCATTAATTTGGATTATCATTAGATTAATTAAATACACTTGTTCATTAAATGTTTTAGCCCTCTAAAATGAATGTAATTATTCTGTCTTAGCTGTCATAGAAAACGTCAGACAGTTATTTTGAAACGCCTAACTAATTGAATTTAAATTTAGGTTGTTACATGGACACAAAAACTGCTTGCATACACCAAATAATTTTTACCACAATAGGCATCCTAACTTGGTCATCAATACTTTGATATTTGTTAAATGTAGTTAAACATCACAGAATAGTCATATTAAAGAAATTTTACATAAGCAGATAAAAAGGGTATTTAATATTCAGTTACAAATGTAAAGTTTTGCTCTATAGCTGAGTACGCATAACTAAAATGACTTTACTGTCTTTACATTTAATTGATCATCAATTGAGTCGTATTTAGATTTTATCTATAATTGTAACATAATCATATTTTAAATAGTTTTAAATGGTATTTGTCTGCAGTTGCCAGTAAGATCAGAGACCGAAATTAGGATATTTAAATGATTCCTGTCATAAGTGCGCTCTTCAGTCTTGTTGTTATGTGTTGCAATGTTCAGCTAGAGCTTTATAAACAGTAAGAAACCTGCACTGTGATCTTTGTCCTGTTTCTCTCTTTGTAAGGTTTGTCCTTCTCTAAACAGATAAATTTTATTTCATTCAATTTTAAATTCATTTTTTTGTGATTTTTCTCTATGTGGCTGCTGTGCACTGAATCATTATGTTATGATGACAAGAAAATCCCCTCAGCAGCAAGGGAAAAAAACATACCCAGAGACGCTCACAGTTTTCAAGTCAGAAAGTAGAAAAACAGCCTTTGGGAGCTTCTTTTTCATGATCTGTCTAATACTCTTTTTAGACCAAGTCCCATTCGTTATGTCCCACTTTTGTCCCAAAGAAATCTCCTTGTCTTCCTCCAGCACACAGACACACACTCAGTCTATTTTAGTCTCCCCTTTTGCAAACCAGAAAGCTTGTTATTGTCTTCATGCCCATGGCTGAATTAGACAGTCTTTGAATATTTTTTCTTAAATATTTTAATTTTTCCCCTCTTCTGTACTTCACTTTGTACATTTTTTTTCTTTTATTCCATGCACAGCAAATTCAAAGAAAGACAGCGAGAATACACCGGTCAAAGGAGGGCATGTGGCCGACTTGGGTATGTATTTATAAATGAACTTGTATCCTTGTGTAGGAGTTATATGAGTGAGATTAGCATCTTTTGTATGTGAGCATAAGCTGTCTCGCAGTTTAAAAGCAAACCTGAGTCGAGACATTTATTTTTATTTTTTCCAGATGACATGGAAGATGAATCTGTGATGTCTGGTGGGAAGGTAAGACCATTGATGTCTGTCTTTATCTCTCCAGTGTAGTTAGGAATATCACATATACATATCACTCCCAGTCACTCCTGGGAGTGATATGTAATATAAACAGTGTATTTTGATTCAGTTAAACTAAATCTAATTGAAATATGAGGAAATGGTACGATTAAAATATCCCTATAGTTATTATTCAAAGAACTAAAAACTAGCGTGCACCTGCTGTTTTTCTTTATTCTTTATACAGGCTTTGTTTTTTTTGTTTTTAAATAAATGTTTGTGAGAAAAGCCACTTTAATTCCAAAGTAGGGCTGTCTCATGAATTGTAATTACGCAGCACGATGACTTTTTTCAGACTGCTGTTACTTGACCTGTCTGCTTATCCTTCTGCAGGATGATGAGGAACAAGGCAAAAGTGAAATAAACCGACTGGATGCCAATGAGGACAATGTGACTGAACAGACGCATCACATCGTTATCCCCAGCTATGCTGCTTGGTTTGACTACAACAGGTAAGTGTTGTGAATCTGAAACTTAAGCTACATTACACAAATAACTTGGTTAATAAGTTATAACTAACTTTTCAAAAGCTTACGTGGAGTGGAGATGATAGGAGGCTTTTTATTTTGGAGAGAGAGTGAGATGTTGCTGTTTGGAAGAAGATGGATTACAGATGCATTTTAAAAAACACAAACAAAAAAACCCACCAGCTGCGGTTTACATGCAGTTAGAGGTGCACTTGATGGCATCTGCAGGCCATTATAATCTCATTGCCATTAAAAATACAATTTTATTTTAGGAATAACATTGTTTCTTCCTACTTTGATATCTATCAATATTTTTTCCTTTCCTTTCTTGTTAGCATCCATGAGATCGAGAGACGAGCCTTGCCAGAGTTCTTCAACGGAAAGAACAAGTCCAAAACTCCAGAAATGTGAGTTTACACACACACACACACACACACACACAAACTCATCAGTCCCACATATATAAAAATGCTGCTTTCATGTAAGAAGTCTCCTATCATTCTAACGGGACATACTGCGACATCTCAACACAGATACCTGGCCTATCGCAACTTCATGATCGACACGTATCGGCTGAATCCTCAGGAGTACCTCACCTCCACCTCCTGCCGCAGGAACCTGACTGGAGATGTTTGCGCCATCATGAGGTTCGACAGATCCACATGTTGTTAACTTTTCTGGTTTTTTTTTTTTTTTTTTTTACATATTAATTTGGTTGGATTAATGGGCAGTGGCTAACTCAATAAAAAAGATTTATGAATATTAAAAACTTACCCTAAATGAATTGAATTGTTGTATTATGGAAGTTAACACCTACTGGGAGGCCTTCAGCCAAACACAGTCCTGAAGAAATGCCATGCATTTGACTGGTACCCTTGTAGGTACCACAAATGCTTTAAAGAGAAGAGGATAAGTAGCTTTTCATTGTTTTAATTATTTTTTAATGTAATTATTCCCCCTCCCCCTCCAGGGTACATGCATTCTTGGAGCAGTGGGGTTTGGTGAACTACCAGGTCGATGCAGAGTCTCGTCCATTGCCGATGGGCCCCCCACCCACTCCTCATTTTACTGTGCTGGCCGACACACCCTCTGGCCTCATGCCTCTTAACCACAGGCCCCAACCGGTAAGGACAACTTAAAGAGGGAAGGAAGAAGTAGGTTTGAATCCACCTGTGCGGCCAAGGACCATATTTTTTTAAGATAAATAGATTGGTTCCAAAAAAGGAAATTTTTGAGCAATGACTCTCACTCCAGAGTGGCTTTTAATAACTTCCCTGAACGTTATCGCTAAACACCTAAAATAGTTTTTTTGTTTAGTTTTTTGTTTTTACACCAAATATAGATCAAATCCTGAAGAATTTTGTCCTTTTTGCTAGCAATTCACTTTAAAAGGGACGCATGGAATCTGTGATTTGATTGTTTGTTTTGTTTTTCTGGCCAACACACCAACCCCAAAAGATGTTTAACTTTGATTAAGATGTCAAAAGAAAAACAAACTGAAATAGTTGCAAAACAATTATCACTGAAATTATAATAATAAAAATCACAGCTGTGTTGTTTTCTCTGGGTTCCTTTCATTATACCCTTGTACCATTTTATTGATGAGCTTCATTTGCAAAACTGCTGCACGTCTCAGATGGTGCCATTGCAAAAAAATACATCTTCATAAAGATGGTTTGCTAATGTTTGGCCATTTTATTCCTTCCAGATTCCTCCTCCACAGCCAATGCCAAATTTTGCAGACAAAAGCAAAGACAAGCCCATCGACCTGCAGAACTTTAGCCTTCGTTCTGACCTCTACAACAGGAAAAGCATCAAGGTTGGAACTTGTTCAACTTCCTAATGTGTTTTTCATGTTTGAAGTTCTAACAGTCTCTCTGAGCTGGTGTGTTAGAATTTAAAAACAAAGAAATGTATATTGTGGTTTTTGATTCCTCAGGGTAAAGCAGGCAGCACCACCAGAGATTGGACTGAGCAGGAGACTCTGCTGCTGCTCGAGGTGAGTCTTAAAGTACAGAAGATGGGAGTGTCCTGTTTTAAATAAGAAAAACTTCCAATGTTTGGCTGCTGATCATAAGCTCAGCCTGTTCTTATGACCTGATTAAAAAAACAACAACACTCTTTCTATGTTTTTTTGTCTTTAACAAAAAAAGAAGATGGCGATAAACTCTTTATGCCTCATGGAATTATAAATATTGCTTTATTAAATGTTCTCTGGCTTTCTTTTTATAATAAGACTTGTATTGTCACTCCTGTCACCTATGGCTAGGCCCTGGAGATGTATAAAGATGACTGGAACAAAGTTTCAGAGCATGTTGGTTCACGCACCCAAGATGAGTGCATCCTGCACTTCCTGCGATTGCCCATTGAAGATCCATACCTGGAGAGCACGGAGGCCACACTTGGGCCTCTTTCCTATCAGCCCATACCTTTCAGCCAGTCTGGGAACCCAGTCATGAGCACAGTAGCCTTCCTGGCATCTGTTGTGGATCCCAGAGTGGCATCTGCTGCAGCCAAGGCAGCACTAGGTGAGAACTGGTGGGAAAAAGCCATAAACTGCAGGGTTTAAATCTATACGATATTTTAATGAGCTTCTGTATTTTAATTGCTAAATAGCTAGAAACAGAAACATTTACAACAAATATCAGTGCAGCAGTTTCTTGACTTCAGAGGAGATACTAGGAATTTATCTGTATATTCAGTTTCATTATCTTAAACAACATCATGCAGCCACAAATATACATGGGTTGGGTTTTGAATGGTTCTGATTTTTGAACGTTAAAGAGGAAATGTCTGCCTTTTGGTTACACATGTTACTTTTGTGTAACTAAAAGTGACCTGTTACACAAGTTAGTAATATTTTTCCTGGTCTTGTGCCAGTTACACTAACAACAAAAAGACCAGTAGAAGATAAATGTAACCACTGAATTGCTCAGATAACGTAACATGAGATTTAGTTGAGACGACAGACAAATACTGGCCACTGTAATTAATAAATATCAAATGATTTGATTGTTGTCAGCTAAGCTAGAATATGAGCCGATACTGATGTGTGGCTTTTATTTTTTTTTTTAAGTGGGAAGAATAACAGGGGGAAAGTAGCTATGTATGGGTAAAAAAAATGGTTTAGCTCTGTGAGTAATTAACACTGTTACTACTGCTTTTTGAAACTAAATAAACAGAGAACACCAAGTGAACACACAATACTGAAAGCAGCTCCAAAAACGGTCTGTGCATATGTGACTATTTTGTTATTATAAAGTGAATAAACACAAGCTGCACAGTCCAGCTGGCATGCTTGGGAATATAATACTAGCTTCATGTCTGAACTAATGAATTGTCATATTACTATCAATGAGAGTCTGAAAGTAAAAAAACATCCACTCTTTGTTTGCAGAGGAGTTCTCTCGTGTGCGTGAAGAGGTGCCAGCTGAGTTGGTGGAGGCTCACGTGAAGAAGGTGCAGGAGGCGGCCAGAACTACTGGGAAGGTGGATCCCGCCTTTGGTTTGGAGAGCAGCGGCATTGCTGGAACTGCCCCCGAGGAGCCAGAAAAGACTGGTGAGTGTTGTTTGTACAGATAGTAAAGAAAGACAGGCTGATGCCTCCAAGCCAACCTCGAAAGTCTTTAACGTATTTCTAAACATGTTAGAAGGTGTAATATCTCAAGCATTTCCTGTTGGGGGAAGGCAGGTATCATCTAAAATAATCGCCTGTCTTTGCTGAGGTTTGGTAGTTTTGTGACCAGCTCCAATATCACAATGTTATTCAGCAATGAGGGATGTCCACTCTAATGTAAATTGCTGCTCTGTGCATATGTCCAGGCTAACCGATGTTTCTCATCATGTCATCATATTTAGGCTCATATTTGACTTTTGCTACATAGCAGTCCTTTTACCAGCAGGCTACTGAGGAGTAAAGACATATTGTGAAATGTTGTGGTGTTTCTGTGTACACTGCTGTGGTAACCAGTGGATTAAAGCTGCGGTTGCAGATGGGGCAGCGCAGTGGGAGGAGGTGAAGGAGAAAACTGGGTCACCACACTCATGGATGTTCTCATCGCTTTCTCTCTCTCTGTGCTGTCTTGGAAATCACCCACACCGCCCCTGCACACAAACAAACACACACACACACACACACACACAATACTTATCACTTGTTAAAGATTAATGCTCAGTTGTAATCAATAAGTTTAAATGTGTTCCATGCCTCCTTTAGCCTAAAGCACTCAACTGGCACAAAATCAATATTCAAACTCTTAACATACGCTCAAGTGCACCCGTGACATGGTTTAACACTCAGCCACACGCATGTATTCACCCGGTCACGTGTGAGTGTACACACAACACTTATCATTTCCTGTGGGCCTATTCATTTAAAGTGCTTTCAACCTTAGTACCTGCATGTCAAACGATGCTTTTTGATGGTGTTTATCTCAGTAAATCAATAAGTTAATTTCACTCCAGACAGGATGATATATCTTAGTTTGGCTATTCAGCTACAGTCATATCACAAATGTTGGTAATATCTATGTAAATTTAGAATGTATTTAAAATAATCTCTGACCCTCTTTGTTAGTTTTATCTGTCTGACAGATGCTGATTTTTCAGTCTTGCTGTCAATTACAGAAACTACAGAGCCGGAAAAGATGGAAACAGACTCCGACTCCCAGCAGGTTGACAAGGTGAGACCACCTTTCATGCATCTTCAGATGTTCACTGTCTCATAGGAAAACATCTATTTATAAATGGATATTATAATAAATACCCTGCTAATTAAAAGGTCAGACTGATTAATAAATCAGATTAAAACATCTAACTTGGGCCATGCGCATACCTGAATTCATTCATGGTTTAGGTTTTTCATTGAAAGTACACAATATAACCAGACTTGGGGTGACAAGCATTGGTAATGGAGATGCAACATAATCCCATCCAATGGTGAGGTAGATTATTTTGATCAAAACTATGGTTTGAATTATACCTCAGGTTTTATTAAGAGTGTATGAATTGCAAAATATTGCGAAGTGTCTTACTACCAGCCAGATCAGTTCATCATGTTTTTCTCAAGAGTAAATAAATGAAACAAAAACAAAGACTGACTACATTATTCTGATGTTATTACAAGATTACAGCTTCAGATAGTCTGGCATGCTGTAACAGGTTCATGAGTGTTCCTGTACAGACAGATGACCTGTCACTTATTACATTGATAGCCACTTCACTTATCTTTTGCACGATTTAGAACTTTCCAATTCATTTACTTTTAGCCCTCGTCTCGTGCTTTAAAAAGTGAGTGAATGTAATGACACTAGTGGCTGTTCACTTAATTATTCTCTTACATTAGTGATTGGGGGAAGAAAGTTAACAGGGTTGAGATTTGATCAACTATTGAGTGTACTCGCAGCATTTTGTAGATGAAAAACCTTGAATGAATGTCCTTTATTCAACACTTTTAAGCAGCTAGCTACACTGAACCACACTTATTTCTCAAATCTCAAGGCAAATCTTAAATTCAGACTTGCAGTACAGTTGTTGTTGTGTTTTTTTTTTTCCTTCTGTGGTGGCACGCCTACCATTTTTGATTTTCCTCGACCTTCAGGGTGAGTTGAAGGATGAGGCTGAGAAGCCGAGCGAGTCTGCCGAGAAGAGCGACAAGACAGAAGCAGCAGAAAAGGTGAAAAAAGAGGGAGCGGAGGCATCGGAGCGTGAAGAAGAGAATGAAGAGGGAGGGGAGGCTAAGACCGCTCAAGCAGGTAACAGTTTATGCCAAAGTGAAACTAAAGCTCCATTTCACAGGCATGCAACTTTGTTTTTAAATTGCAATTTAAAGGGTCTACTTCTGGTTGATTATCCTGATGATTTGATAATTTATTTAATGTTTTATTGTTTAATTAGTCTGTAAAATCTGATGTTTTTCCACACACATTCTTTAAAAAGTCTACATAAAGTGCTTGATCTTTTCTATTTTTTCTTTTCCTTATCAGACAAAGACAAAGAGGAGTCTACGGAGACATCATCTTCAGACCAGGAGAAGGAGAAGGAGGAGAAAACCCCTACAGAGGAGGGAGAGGACAAGGGCAAGAAGCTGGAACATGATATCGGAGAAGGAAACATTGCCACTGCGGCTGCTGCTGCCTTGGCATCTGCTGCCACAAAAGCCAAGGTAAGACTGCTGGACTGCTGACTCTGCAACAGCAATTGCATGGAACAACTTCAGCTTTTCTCAAATGACGCTGTGTTGCTGCTATAATTTTGTGTACCTGTTGTTCTGATGGAATCTTGTACCTTTTTTAGTGTTAAAATAGTAAAATTCTGGAAAAGGTTATTTAGCATTGATTAGATATTGACCATCAGCCCATTGCCTTCCTTTTAGCATTTGGCAGCAGTGGAGGAGAGGAAGATCAAGTCCTTGGTGGCTCTGCTGGTCGAGACCCAGATGAAGAAACTGGAGATCAAGTTGAGGCACTTTGAGGAACTTGAGACCATCATGGACCGTGAGAAAGAGGCTGTAAGTCAGGAATACTTCAATACAATGTTGTATTCTGTTGGCCAGCTGGGCTCTTCACTTTCAGTTAATGCAGGCACTCAAATCCTCTAATGCTCAGTAAAGGCTTATAACTGTGGTTATCAATAATGAAGGTGAGCTGTTAACAGAAGTTCATCCGGCACTTTAAAACTACGCCTACTCTCTAAAGTGGAAAATTAGCTGTTTGAAGCAAAGACGGCTTTATAAAGTACCCACCTCTCAGACAAAGTGTCTACAGATCTTTAAAAGGTCTATAAAATTATTAATGCAACTAATAAGCTTTTTAAAAAGACTTGAAGTCAAAGGAGAATGTTTTTAGTCACAGGTTACTTTTAGCTGCTTCCATATTTCCCAAGAGGTCACCACAGCGGATGGCTCTGCATGCTTGGTTTGGCACAGATTTCATGCCAGATGCCCTTCTTGACACAGCCATCCCATTAATCTGGGACTGGCAAGTAGAAAAGGAGACCAGCCTGTGACCCTCGTGTGGTTATTATACAACACTGTGGGGAGATCCAGAACTGCTTGTTTTGGATGTTTTTTGGAGACCCAACAGCAGAGTACTCATTTTGAAGTCTGCTACTCGAGGCTCATGCATTGTAATGTAAATTCTCTGCAGACAAGTCCGAGCAGTGGCAAAAAACAGGCAGCCACATGGACGTCACAGATACACACAACAATCAAGGCTTAAAGCCTTGTTTGTGTCTCCTCTCATCCTTGAACTGGGGATCTTTTGTGTGCGCCAAATGTTTCAACCACTACACCACAGAGTCAAGAACGTTTTCATCCTCACCACCGTGAAAATCTCTGGCACATAATGCTACTCAATTAGCTCATACAGCATGATTGCATCGTTAAGGTTTCACCTAATAGGTTTTGCATGTGTGCAAATGGTTTACTGTAGCAGTCTGAAAAGATAAATATTTGGATGGTGTTTTAAAATTAACCAAACATTTGTACGTTTCCTTAAACACCATTTTAACTTGCCTTCAACAGGTTTCCTTGGGAAGGGTATATTTCACTTTTATGCGACTTTCACAGCAGATTCTCTTAAGATTGTGTTATGAAGGTCTTACATTTAACTTGGTCATACTTACAGATACCCCATCTTAGCCTGTGAAATATTTTTTTATAAAAAGAACAACACGTGTAACAAAATATTGAGAAAAAGTTGAATGTTTGATTTAAACTCCTAAATTTAAGAACAGACATTTTAAGTTGGGACAAATGCCAATATTTTGGGAGGTTTTAAGTAGAGGTGGGAATCACCATACATCCCACGATACGATATTATCACAATACTTAACGCACAATACGATATTATTGCAATTTTTTAAAATATTTTGCGATATTCAGATTCTGTACATAAAGGTAAACTTTATCAATATTCATTTTATCTAATATCAAAGTCTCACACTCAGTCTTTCTCTCATTTCAGTTTTATTGTTGACAAACTTGACGGTTTTTTTTTCCGTTTTGTTCCACTTTACTTGACTCAACCATCTGGTACAATTATAGCTATTCTGAACTATGCAGTTTATGAAAACTATGCAGCCCCTTCAGCAACTGAAGAATTTGAAAGTAAATTAAAACAAAATATAATTTTGCATTAAATAAAAAAGTTTTACACTTAATTAAAATAAAACATGTCTTAAATGAAAATAAGTAAACTGTCATGTTTATTGCTGCCAAAAAAGGTTAAACACATTTGGACAGTGAAGGAATGTCAGGATTCTTGCTCAGAAAAAGGATCAACATGCTCTGAAGTACACAAATATCCTTACTTGTTAGACGTCTTTATTAGACTGTTTAAAAAAATTTAAAATAATTGTAAAACACTTTAAAATGAAAAAGAAAGATAACTACTACATTTGTATTTGGATTAGCACATCCTTTGGCGTTGTGTAGAAAAGACTGCGTTACAAAGTTTCGCTTCTTCTGTTGCTATATTGGCACAAGTAACTAATAAAGATTTAATTCATCAACAGATATTGGCCAGTCAACAGGTTTGTCCCCACTTGGCCCAAGTTTTCCATAGAGATTGAAAAAGAGACGCAGCATTAATTCTCTGTGAGGAGAACATTTTTTCCAAAGCAAAGCTGTTGTTCAGTGAGGCAAGTGAAAGTGTTACCTGCCCCGACAGAGCAAATGAATGACTCTCAGCTCTGGTTTGTGTGTGTTCTGTCCCTGCACAATCCCTGGAGACGCTAGTGAGAGTGTAAAACTGTGTTTTCACGGTAGCGGCATTGGCAGTGTAGCCCAGTTTCACAGCTGTAAACAGTGCATGAAAAGGAGTCTGGTTAAAGAGGCTTTCTGAACGCTGGAATGAAACCAACCCACTCCTGCTGCTGTTCCTAACATAAACTGTAACACTGAGACTCTAAAACAAAGAAACACAGGCTTTATTTAGAGCTGTATGTGCTATGCAGAAGGAACTGAACAGACCTCCCCCTCTCTTGTTCTGATTTTTGTCATGAAGCTAGTTTATTTCTTTTTAGCTTCATAAACGTTCTTTTTGACTTTGGCTGTAGTTCTTTATTTTTATATCCATGTTTTGAAATACCCGCCTGATGATACTGTGGGTCCAGCCTCATCAGTATAAGGAATGCGTGGTGAGTGCAGCGGCCTATGTAGTTATTGTAGGACTTTGCTCATTCATCTCAGCATAGCTGCACACACACTAGCTGTACATCTGCTGCAAGTTCAGTCTGGAGGAAGAATTATTGCTGCCAGACTAGAGAAGTTCAGGAAAGGCCACCGATTGATATCAGGAATGGCCAAAACAGCGACCTGTTTAGTTGGACAAAATGGAAATGAGCACGAGCTCTTCAGTTCTTAAATGCATGCACAGTTTTTAAAGATTAAAAAAAAGAAAACGTTTTTAAAAGTAGTTGTAAAATATACCTTTGTGGCCTGTAACAAGAAAATCTGTATGTGTAAAAACTGTTTCGATTTCATGGCCATGGTATTCATAAGTTAGGCTTCTGCCCTGTAAAATATGCAGGCCTACATTTTGTCAGTGTGCACCTTTTTGGCGTAAAGCAGACTTTATCAGGATATAAAGCAATGAAAATGTAACTTTATGTACTGCAATACCTGCCAGTTGTTGGTGGTATTTGGTATTATAACTGTCTTAAAATCATCTTTCCTCATGGTTCCTGCATTTCTGTGCAGTTGGAGCTTCAGAGGCAGCAGCTGCTAACCGAGCGTCAGGCGTTCCACATGGAGCAACTCAAATACGCCGAAATGAAGGCGAGGCAGCAGATGGAGCAGCAAGCGGCAGCCGCGGCTGCTGCTGCAGCTGCCCAGGCCCAAGGACAGGGGCAGGGGCCTGGGGCTGGACCACACTCTGGGCCCCCTCCACCAGGCATGCACCCAGGAGGACCCACACCACATCACGGAGGACCTCCTCCCCACCACGGAGCACCTCCACCACACCATGGAGGGCCCCCACCCGGCGCTGCAATGCACCCTGGCTACCCCCCAATGGGTCACCACCCAATGGCCCCTCACCACCCAGGACAGACAGGTGAGGGGGAAAGGAAAACTACACTGGTGCTCAAAGTGATACAGAGATTAAGGAGCTTTGAAACAGGGGGAGCAGTTATAACCCTAAAGATGTGTTCTTTTAGATATTGTGAAATATTAGCATTTTTATATGGAAAGAATGTCAGCAGCTTTACCAGGTTATGACTTTGTTTGTTTTACACATTTGCCATATCAGATATTGATTGCTCAGTAGCTACTCTCTGCTGCCTTTAGTGGGTTGTCTTCATATATACCCACAGTTATACTAGCATCTATGTTTTGTAGTCTTAGATCTTGGCCACTTGTTAGCCAGCTTGGTAGTAACTGCTAACTTGCTTAACAATTTTAATCTTTTTTCTTTTTCTATTTTTTTTTAATTTATTTTTTATAAATGATGCCTTAATCTACCTAAAAGAACAGCTACATGAATTACTTTATTAAAGTCCCACTAATTTGGACTGGTGTTTTGGTAATTTGGACTAACCCTTGGTGATTATTTGCTTTTGGGAACTGCAGGAAAACGTGGACATAATTGGCTCATTACATTAAACTTCAGCAAAATAACATATCAAGTGTTCTCAGAGAATAACGACAGAATGGATTAAATGGCTTTTTTCTTCTCTACAAAATCATGTTAGTTGTTGGTTGAATGTTTGTTTCTGGTTTGAAACACCTCATGTAGGTTTTCTTCCTTATGTCCATCTGATCTCCATGTGTCTGATTTCTCTTATTTGTACTTTCCATGCTGCAGGACCAATGGGACCAGGTCAGCCAATGCCTGGACGTATGATGTCTGGCCCTCCTTCTGCTGGGCCTCCTCCTGGTGGCATGCCTCCCATGATGCCCCCACGCCACCCCGGAGCCCCCAACGGCATGTGTAAGTATAAATAGTCACCCTCTCATTATGCTTGTGTTGTTTTTGAATATGTATAAGCAAACTCAAGGTGGTTTATTTCTGTTGATTTGTGAAAATTTAATTCACCAAAACCAATACACGCTAAATTATGGCCTTGTTTCTAGAATCCTTTATTTACCCAACAAACAACCTAAAAAAAATCTTTCTGGGAAATTCAAATAATGCTTTGACCCGGAGCTGACAGCTGGTATTTACTTTGAATGTCAGCTGCAGCTAAACATTTGGATCATGGCTGCTTATTAGCATCACAGCACGCACAGACCCTGTGGTTTGCATTGATTTCTCTAACCTTGTAAAGCAGCCAATCAGCATCTGAAATTAAGCACCAGTGTAATGATATGTATTTAAGTTTTTTGGCAGCTGCTGTTTGTGTTTCCACGTGTACTAAAGCTGAAATTTGAACTCTAAGAATGGTGTTAGTTAATCGTTTTTTTTGTTTTGCATTATATTAAAGAGACTTCTCAGCATTTACATTCCTCAAGAGAAACAAAATTTGTTAGATTTATTGCAGGTGACATATTATAGCGATACCATTCATTCTTAGACTGCTAACTTTTAAGCTATGTTTGCACTTTTTGATACCTAACCTGTAATTTTTATTTTTTTTTAAAGGAGGAGAAAAATACAATTTTCTTCATGCCTTAGGATGTCATTTATGTTGCCCATCAGCATAAGTTATGGTTACCAGAAATCAATGCAGGCTTTAATTTAAAGCCTCACACCACTGCTGTGTGTGTTAGTCTAATAATTGCCCTGTAGCTAGGTTAAGCGTTGTAGATTGTTGTGATGAGATGAAACCTTTTTGTCTTTAAAGGTACGGACTGTTTTTGATGTATTTTGCCTCATCATCCAGTAGAGGGAGCTCTTAAAGTCAGATATCAGCTTTACATATTGCATCCACAATTAACCTGTGATGAATAAATTGTACTGGAGGAGGATGGTAGCCACTTGAACCACTGAAAAAGCGGTCTTTGAGAATTTCTGGTTCTGTGAAAAGCTCTTCACGTCCAAGCTTATCACTTAGTGAAGCAGTGTTGTAATGTTGTCTTGAATATGACAGAAGAGACACAGTGCAGCTGCAACTGCACAGAGAAATGCAAACGATGAAAGCCTAAAGGGTTAAATACCATGTAGAACTGGTTGATTACACATGACTGGTATTGAAAATACCAGGATTACAGTTACCTTCATATTCATTTATATATTAGTTCAAACTTTAGCTTGCTTCCTTTATGCTCTAAAACCAAGATTTTCCTTCTTAGATCCTGGTCCACCACCTGCACAGCCTGACGCGATCCCTCCTGCTCCTGTAGGTCCTCCAGCACCTCCGAGTGGGCGAGTGGCTGACAACTAAGAGCTACACACGCAGACACACACACACACACACACACAAAAGCACACAAGCTTGAAGCTAACTCTCTGAACATCAACCCCTTTTTGATGGCCTTTGCTACTGGCTCGGTATTTTTCACTCAGCACTCACATCTACTATAAACTTCATCACAGGATGCACACACACAGACACACACAGGGTTCAAAAGCAGAGGTAACCTCACATTTCACACATGCACCCATACATGCAGACTTCCACTCAGGGCACAGCGGCAAGGGTCGTCTACTAATAAACACTGTTTTCTGCTCTGTTGGGCCAAACCGAGGATGTAGAGAATGACCCTGTGTACAGAAAACAAAACAAGGAGACAGAACAAATAATGATTTAAAAAAAAAAAACTGTCTCATCTCTTTTTCTTTTTCCTCCTTTCTTTTTCCAGTGCTGTTTTAATTGCACTGAAACCCCCTTCCAGTCTCACAAAACACACGCCCTGCTTTTTGTCTGGTTCCTTCTTCTCCAAGACAAACACTAGGGGGAGCTAGCGAGACTAGAGAGCTGGTGTGACCTGTAGGGGTGGGTGGTGTGTGTGTGTGTGTGTGTGTGTGTTGAAGCAAGCAGATTTTTCAGACATTAACATGAATAAAACACACATGGGGGACCCAGCCTGCCCTCACTCTTGTCTTGTCGAGTATCTACCTCTCGCTCCTCTTGAAATGATACACTGTAGTTCTGTGTGTGAGTGTGTGTCTGTGAATGTGTGTGTCAGACAGAGGGCTGGGTGATGGTCATTTGTGCCTTTTTTTTTTTTTAAATGTATGGATTCTGTTTTTCACTCACTTCTGCACTGGCTGATTTTGAGACATAAAGTCAAAACTGAACAAAGAGGCAGGCGGAGATTTAGCTTTAGGTCTGCCTTTGTCTGATAGGCTGCATCCTCCTTGACCCCCCCAAAAATGGCAGCTGTAAATACTGTTAACAGTATCTGAGTATAGGAGTGAGAGAGGGTACCTGCTGAAAAGGTTTAAATTGTTCTTAGTTGTGTTTGAAATGTAAGGGTTCAACTAAAATTACTTTTTTTTTTCTCAACTTTTTACTGGATTCGATTAGACTTTAAAATTACATTTAAAAAAAAAGACCAGAAATTTTCAAGTTCTCTTCTCAGTACTTTGTGACCTCCTAATCAGAGAAGTAAAACCTTTAAGTTGTATGATTTTAACATTTAAAAGTTTTGCCTACTAAATACATTTGCGGTATTTGGCAAATATAAACTAAATTGGAAGCTAAATCTCATTTTGTGAGGCACAAGTTAGGACTTTCCGGCCATGAAAGGAAGTACATCCACCTCCTTCCTCTGTCTGTCACACCACCTGCAGCACTGTAACGCACACGCACAGACATGTAAGCTAAGCTGTGGCGAACACTGGAGGCTGCATGCACACACCGACTTGGCCAGACCCTGCCACAAAGCACTGGACAAACACACATGTAATCTCCTGCTGACCTTCACACAGCCTTTACAGAGAGGGAGACGCTGTGATGCGGCTGAAACATCACAACACGACGATGCTCTTCCTCAGCACGGTGGGCTTCTAGATGTTTTTAGGTGCTGATACTGTAGCGATTAAATCCCGCCCCCCTCTCTTATGCTCAGTTTCTTCACGCCTAGTGCTGCCTACCTCGCTAACCCCTCTTCCCCCTCTTTCCCTCTTTAGTGCACGTTTTGCATTAATTTCCAGCTACTGTAAAACTCTGCAATATCCTCATTTTTGTGTATCAAACCATTACACAGAAAAATATTAAGTTACTAAGTAATCACAACTGTTTAGTCCTTAAACGCTCTGTCCTGTCATGTCACAGTAAATTAAATTAAACAAGGGGCGAAACCACTGAATACTCGCGTGCAGATTTGGTATTTAAATATCAGCTACTCAAGCTGGATGCTGGTTTCCTTTATCTTTTTCTTTAATGGGAAATTTAAAGTAACCTCAGCTGAGAGAAAAACAGTTATTGTGTGTTAATTTTCAGTATCAGCTGAACAAAGTGTCTGAAAAAATGAAAATTAAATCCTGTAGCTATAAAAGGGGAAAAAAGGAACATTATGGGCTTTTTGTTTTCGTCTCTCCTCTGAATTAGGACTAGGATAGGACAACAGTTTCACCACAAGATCCATTTATTAGCTGCAGTTTGTCGCAGTATTCCCCACATTTTCCATTGCTCAGGTTTCCCTTTTCTGAGCTTTTTAAAGTATTTTCATGTCAGTAATCTTGGAAATTAAAATCGGAATTTTATTCCTCGAAACGAGTCGTTCTGAACATTTGGAAGCCCGTTTTCCTCATGACGTAGTTGTTTTTGTCAGGTCATCAGCAAGTGCTTTCAACCCATTAAAAACATTTTATGACACTTGCAAGTTAGCTTTAAATAAATTAAAATGTTTATTTTATTCCTGCTGCTCTAATCATCATTTCAACTAGTCTGCATTCACCATCCTGCATCGTTCTAAAGCTGACATACAAGTGAATAATAAATCCAATATGAGGATGTTTTAATGTGAAGTCTTAACCAGAACTACTACTCCTTCCCTGTTGCTAGCACTGTTAGTATCTCTGCTACCTCTTCCTCCTCCTCCATCTGCTAGCTACCTCTTCTAGAAATCTTCCTCTTGCTATCTACTACCTCTCTGCGCACCCCTTTGCTACCTCTTGTTCCCCACCGCCTTCCTTTTTGTTTCTTCTTAATTTCTTTTAAAATACTTTCTTTGTCCTGCCCACATGACTGCTGCATCACTGACTGTTGCCCTCTTCTCCCAGTCTGTTGGAAGAAGAAAGCACACAAACACACCGTACGATCCCTCGCTCACACTCTCGTTCAGCGTGCCCTCCCATGCAACATTTTACCAGGCTTGTTATGTAATATCACTTAAATATGATGGGATTTCCTTTACATATATTATCTTTAATGGATACTTTTTTGTGTTATTGGTAATGTATTTTCAAGGAGATGTTTTGTGTAGATGGAAGTTCTCTCTGTTCTTTGTAGCATTTGTTTCTCCCCCCCTTTTTTTATTTTGTATGGGGTCTGTTGGTACTTGGACCTAGACACTGTCGAATAAACTGTGTTTTGTATGAAAATGTCTCAGTTTCTTTGTCTTTTCTCTTTAGACTAAATGTACAATTGCTAAAATTGCAAAAGTTTTCATCTGAAACTGCACAAAAAGAATGTAGAAAATAAGTATGTTTTTATATTGCAGTTACAAGATTGTATTTTAAAAATCAATCACCTGAAAGCCCAAGTCTTATCAATTAAGTAATTCTTGAAGTTAATTCAGAGTTTTTTTTAAAAAAAAAATAGCTATTAGTGAATACTGAATTAGTCATTTCCAAAAGAAAAAAACCACATTACACAAATAGTACATTGCTTCATATTTGTAAGGGTTAATACTTCATGTGATCATGTTTTTGTGAACTACAAGCTTCAAGAGGACAAACTGGATAATCTATCCCTTGCTTTTGTGTCGGGATTAGGGACATTGCTCCAAAACATCTGCACATAATGAATTCACAATGTGTAAATTACAGTTTTCAGTGACGTCACAGGCTTAGTCGGCTTTTGTGGAAGAAAATTGGTGAAGTCTAAACGTCTGTTTGAGACTTGAAATGAACAGTAGATTTTTAGAGCACCATGCAATGAATCAACACTGGCCAAACAGAACATGCATATGTGGTTGTCAATGAAAAAAGTTGAATTAAATCACAATAAACCATTCTTTCAAGCTCCTTACCAGTATGATTAATTTGTAATGCCATTACTTCTTCAACAATGGTTATGATAGACACACAGTGCTGTCACATTATTATTATTATTATTATTATCAAATAATTTGAGCTTTTTCATTTCCTTTGGCACATTTCTTACATTTTTAATTTCCGAAGATACATTTTTCATAACAAAGCTAAAACATTTGCATTTGTGTGGCGCACAAATAAAATTTCCTTAAGTATTTTACGTATTGTTTAGACAGCTTCAGAGAATAATTGTAGTATAGGAAAAGAAAAATGAATCAAGTTAACATAGAGGTAAAGTACTGTCCACAAAATTACTGCTATATGATTTGGGCTGCAAAAGTTATATTTTAGGCTATTATAGTTAAGTGGAATAACAAAGCAACAAGCTCTTAGCATTTTTTCAGGTCTTGGGGGGGATCCATGATAACTGGGTTGAAGATGTCATTGGTGTGCTTGTTTTGCTGCCTTAGCTGCTTAGCTCTCTGCTTGTAGCATCTGTGTATGAACAAACGAAGAGGAAAACTAATCCCGCCCGGCCAGCACTGTAATCTGGCGAGAGGGGGGATTTCTGCATACAGCAGATTGACCATGTGTATGTTATTGAGAGGTTTGAGGGGCCAGAGGGTGATTACTTCCTGAGTGGGACTGGGAAAGGGGGGATGGGAAGTTTGATGAGAGGGCAATGGAACATCTCTCATCAAGCACTGTGAGCAACCTCTGGGGGTGAAGTCAGTGTGTTGGTGTGAAAAACTGCAGTTCTAATGGCCATCTGATTGTTGTCTCTATAGCTAATCAATTGTTTTTTCATCTTCAAAACAATTGTTTTTAATAACTAGACTTTACTTTAAAAAAAAAAAAAAAAACCTTACACTAGTATTACCCCTTTGAGTGGCAGGCGGGACTATGCTTGCTGAAGTGATTCTGGAGAATTTTTAATGGAATTATCAAATAAATAATATGGTTGATGTGAGGTACAGACCGTCCTGGAGGACTGTATTTTTAAACTCGCTGGCAGAAGCTTTGAAGTTAAATACATTTTTCATGGGATTTTTAAAGTGTAGCAATATTGCCTCTGAGATGTAACCCAGCCAGGAGGGCAAGGGGTGCAAGCCAGTGTACTCTTTGTGCTTGTCCTGAGCCCCGCATAATAGAAGAGGGTTGCATCATCAAGGGCATCCAGTGTCAAATCTTTGCCAAATCAATCAATAAGATTTCTATTCTGGATTGACCAAGGTTAACAAGGACCGCCTTCTGA